TTTTACAGTTTGCACCTAAACTCTAACAGATGAGAGGAGTTGGGCAAAACACAAAATTTATGTCTTGATTTTGCCTAAATTATTGATTTTTCATATATACTACAGGTTTCTGTTTCAAATATATCCAATTTACTTACCCTTTTATAATTATGCAATTAAAATTCACTAAGCACCGAGATCCAACATTCCAGATGCAGTTAGTAACTTCCAAACTTCCATCCTTATGCAGTTCAAATTCACTAAGCACTTAATGTTTACTCATAGAAAAACGTTAATAATGCTGTTTAAACCTAATAAATAACGCAGTATAGTGCCCAGATGCCGCTCTGGAGGCAGGATTTGCGGACAGGACAGAAAAGAGGTCAAAAACACAAGTCAGGAGCTCGAGGCAAGAACTGGAGATAGCAGTAAAGAGAAAAAGACAACACATATCAAGCAAATATATATTACCATTGGTTACCGTCGTTCCATTGGCCCATTCCGGTGTCGTACTCGTTTCGCTCAATGCTGTTTCCGATCTAAAATATCATAATTAAAATCTACAGTGCTTTTTTTAAAATTCAAGCACAGGTTTTTTGCTAAAATCCAACCTTTCATCTACAGCTTTTTCACGATGAACCGAAAGCCAGTGGCCACCTTTCTCGATGGTTGGTGTTGTTTGTACGGCAGCTGCACTCACTGTCACATAATCTTGCACTGGTCTCCTGGCAGTTCGTGAAGTGGCAATATCCCCCGTTTCGCTACCGGTTAAACCCCTTTTCTTGCCGTAACTGCTGTTGTTGTAGTTGGGAATTGATGGATTTTTGCCGGATGTTTCAGGAGCTGTTCCCGATCGTAACCTATTCAGACCTGAAAAGCGCTTAAATTTCAGGCTTAATTTTAAATTTTGACTTTTTTTCTAATTTTGCTATGTGATTTTTCTGCTGGTCGATAAGGTACTTTATCAATGGTCAAATAGCAGCAACGCCTGGAACAAGGTAGTGATTTTCAACACAAATCAAGGACTTCTCGAAACGGATGAAGCTCTTTCCAGGGGCTTCTCCGTCGTGATAACCACTGAGTTGGGAATCTCTTCAGGAGACAAAAAAGACCTTCATGAGTACTGAGAGGCTGGCCACCAAACGAAGCAGGTTAACACAACTGGAAAAGCTGCCAGGTTAGATGGAGATCCGGACCAATCCAGTTTTTGACTAACATATTTTATACTGGTACGCATGGTACTGAGGTTTTTATTACCAACTCTCATCTACCATAACGCTGGCATTCCCACTTGAAATGATCACTTCTTGGTCGGGCATCCATGGCCTTCCCTTTCTATTTCTCGATGAATCAGTGATTTTACCTGAATGATTGCTTTCTTTGTTTTCTTTTGTCTTTGTCGGTGGCGATAGTGCACCATTTACTTTTGCCTAAAAACGTCAATTTTTGGCAAAAAAAATTATCTTTCCCATTTCCACATTCCCTCTTTTTTAGTAATTATAGCAGAAAACAAGAGGGACTGAGTTTTATCCAGAGAGCTGTGGTAACTTTCTAGCCTTTGAAAAATTATTTTAAAAAATTAACTAAAACGGGGTCTAATTTATGAAATAGAAGAATGGAAGGATTTCACGTGAATCTCATGTGTATGAAGAAATTTTATGATGCAGTCTGTGTTTCATCCGCTAGCTGTATACACAGACCGAATTATGCATGCGGGTAGGGGCGGGAATCATAAAACCGCATTATCACTGAGTACCATAAATCAAATTTCTTACTTTGTTGTCCTTTTCTCCGTTAACGTGCATATTTTTCGGGGAATTTCCGCTCTGGGTTGCGTGTCCATTTGAATATGGCGATAAGCTGGAACTGAAATATTACCAAAAACAATATTGGAATGCTATAACTCAGTTCAGTAAGCATTTGCAAGGCTGCTAATAAAGTGGAAGAAACGGCTGGAACATTTATATGGAATAATAAATTGCGGCCGTTAGAAGGCCGCACTGTAGTCTTAAAAACAAGTGGACAGTCCAAATCAAACAAAATTTGAAACGGACAAAGTTCGAAAATTTAAACCTGGAAGGGGAGGGGGAGGGACAGAGCATTTTAATAAGGTAAAGTTATGATGTAAAGGAAAAGATTATAGGGCGATACATGGATTTAGCCAGCTCGAAAGTGGGCAGGATGAGGCAGCTACTGAAAGTGATGAAAAATCATAGCAATGGAACAACAGCTTTTCAAAGTATCAGAACAAACAACGAATATACTTCTACACGTTTTAAACACCCCAAACTCTCTTTTTATGCATTTTTTGCATCTGTGCAATACAAAAACGCGTGTGTCAAAAAGTTATTGTTTTATGCTGGTGGGCATGGTGTAGTGGCAAGTAACGCTGCTTTTTTTACTGGAGGTTAAGGGTTCGACTCCGTCAATGAGAGCAGCAGTTCCCCTATGAATCATTAATTCATTTCGATGGTAAATTGGTACTGTTCTTGCCTGCTAGACATTAAAAACCGCAATTAGTTTACTTCTAAGTGCATCTTTCGAAAGAGAGAGCCGTCGAAAGCTTTACCAGCGAGTGGTTGCTATTGGCACATGTCTTGCACTCGAGCTACTTCCAATAAATTTCGTTTTTTTTTCTCGAAGAATGAATATGAATAAAATATGTTTTGATTTTCAACCTTTATATAATTCAATTAAAGGATAAAGAGAAAATGATGAACTGGAAAAAATGAAGAAGGGATGAAAAACTTTCAGTAAGACCATATAATTGACCTGTCCCCCCTCGCACTTCCAAGATTCAAGCACCAACTACTGCGCTGTAACACGCACTCAAATTTTACTATGTTTCTGCTAACAAAACGATCTCATACCTTTTATAGCCATATCGTTTGATCACGGTATTTGCTGTGCTGTTACACGAATCAGACGCTAAAGGTGATAATGATTTTGCACCAGTCACAGGTGTTTTCACAGCATATGGGGCCGGTTCACCATGGCATTTCACCAGTGTTCTTGTCTGGCGTGCCTTCGTCGGCTTTATTGGTAGAGTTGCCTAAAAATGACAGTATAAGTCTGCCTAACATATCAAAGTACAGTCATCAGGATCGCCTAAACTATCAGTGGTTTTGAAATAGATCCATACGTCTTCCTGTTCTAAGCTATTTTTACGATTTTTGATTGCCATAGCCGTCACGTGCACGGTCGAAAACATCAGAAATCATGCAGTGAGTCTTTCTTTTATAAAAATGAGAAAAAATATTCCTCTCCATAAAATTATACACGTTTTTCTGATGTAAAATGAGAACTAAGAAATTGCCAGCTGTAATAATGGTATGAAAATGTAAGACGATAACGAGATAGCACTTACTCAAAATGTTAAAGTAAATACCTCATCTCCACGGAATTGCCAAATGAATGAAAACAGCCACAGGACGTTATCTGCTGTTTGCCAAAACGATCGTACCAATAGATTCGAATCCGACGAGTAATGCAAAACATGCCGTCGTGGTGATGAAGGCTTGAATTCCGCTGTAAAAACAATCTTCAAAAATCAAAAACTCCCCCATAGTTATTTTCTGTGAAAGGTGTGCTGTGAATGGAGCCCTTTCTCCAAAAATCGTCCGGGACCGGTAAGGAATCGAACCATTTCCTTTCATGCTCTAACACAACATGTTGCCACTACACCACCGATTCTTATTTCAGGTTCAGCCTGGCTGCACATCTACTGTGTATCTGCTTTTCAATGCAAGATATACCTCCATTTTCTCTTTCTTTGTGGCCGCTTCTTATCTGGTTTTTTGCAGGTTTTCCGTAACAAAACATGCAATATAAAGAAATAACACGATTGATAGAAATATCAATAGCAAACATGCGCAGACAAGAATGTCGATGGCTCTCTCTTTCAAAATTGCTTAAAAAGAAGCTAATGGCAGATTTGACTCCCCGGGCTAATTTACCATCGAAACGAATGAACGAACTATAGGAGGAATAACTGTCCCCACTGGCAGAGTCGAATCCTTCAAACTAAATACGACAGGAGCGCAACTTCCCACTGTTCATATCCGCTAGCCATGGAAAATACGTCTGGAAATAAGAGCGAGAAGGACCCAGTGGAGGGAAGATGTGAAAAAAGCCGGGGTAAGGGAAAATCCGTCAAAACAAATGACTCCAAAAAAAGCAGGCATACAGGAAGATGTGGATGTTGTTGTAACACAATCATCGTTATCATCGCCACCACCATCATCATCATTTTCATGCAGTAAACGTCTGTTCATAACATTCAGATCGAAAATCTGTCCCATTTGGCTATACTGTTGTCGCAGTGCACAAGTTACCGTTCGATCACCTTCCAAGTAAGCACATGCAATCACGCACACGAAACAGAATCTGTAAAAAAAAAGTGCAAATCTCAGGAAATTTTTGAAAATACAAAATTTAAGGCCTTAAATCTTGGTGCTAATCTCATTTCTACAGATATGGATAGAAACTGATTTTGAGCCAAAAAATCTTCAGAAAAAAAAATTTAGAAAAAATTTTCAGAAAAAAAAATCAGAAAAAAACTTCTGGAGAACTAACATTAGCGCAGAAACACAGGAATAGTACATGAGACTTTCGAATGGTGGTCGTGGTAAAGCCGAATGACATTTGGCCAACATATGCCGTGGTATGGATGCACCGATCGGAAAAAGCCAAGATGTACCGTTCATATGCATATAGAATTGCAATGCTGCTTCATTCCAGGTCATCAAAAAATCCGGCGTATAACTAAAATTACTGAATAATGCAGAAAGGAAGGAAAATTTTGGTGAGAAAATCTTCTGGAATGGTGCAATTTCTTAGAATTTCTTGGGATTTCATGGAATTTCCTGGAATTTCAATATCTTTCCAGAAATTAGGACTGAAAATTTCTTAAGATCCGTCCGTGATTTTCTAGAACTTTTAAAATTATGGGAAATGAAATGCACAAGGGGATCGTCAGCAGGTTGGGCCGTCCCGCGATATGCAGCATTAGCCAAAGCAGTTAGGAAGATTTCCAGCTGAATATTTCGAGCACCAGCTATGAATTTCAAGCCGGACCAAGTATCTAAGTAAGTATTAATCCAATGCCTTCATTCTACGCTTACTTTACTCATGACGAACTTGTATTACAATGATGTATACAACTTAATGGACCGAAATATTCTTATCCTCGATCATTACTGATTATATATATATTAATTATACAAAATACCTAAAAATGTCAGTTACATATAATCTACTAATTATATATAATACATATATCGTTCCACTTTCATCCGATCTACATTTATATTATTGTTTCCTTATGCTCGTTTTTTACACGTTAACTTTTATTCACTTTCCAATCATGGGCTACAAATGAAACTGAATTACTTTCATTACACTTATTTTTTGATCGAAAAAACGCTTTTTCTCAAAAATTTCAAGAACTCCCTCCTCCCTTCTCCCCTTCTCATCCTTTCATTTATCCGCTTCCCTCATCCCTTCTCTCTGCCTCATTTTCCCATCATTCCCCCTTCCGCCCAAAAAAAAAAATAATTAAACTTCATATTCCACGGTCTTAACTGATAGGGTATAAAAAATAACACTTACGCCACATCCAAAATATGTGTTTCGTTGGGCGTCAGTCGAAAAGGATGGCAGTTCAGGATGCGAAAGCCACGATTCTCACAGGCAACATTGTTGATACTCATGTTGACCACCGTGAATGCCACCTCACCACTATTCACAACAGTAAACGAACGTTTCACTGTGAGAGTGGTGAAAAGTTTGTGTGTTAAACCTAAAATTGAATAAAAAACAACTAGAAAAAAAGACGAATGCCGTTAATACCACTTGGAAGGTGCTCCTCAACAATCTACCGGAACTCTGAATTAACAGACCAACAGGACTGTACGCAGGCCATGTGTAAGGTGATATTTTATGGTGCAAACTGCCTTTATCTTTTAGATTTAGCGGGGTGATATTTTTCAGATGCAGCCTCTGTGTGTTTCATCCCTTAGCTGTAAACATAGACCGGAACTCTGAATGTATGCATCGGGTGAAAATCAAGTCAAAACCCCTCCATAACCACTCCATGAGAAGTCATAACTGCCAATAGCCACCACACGTCCGCAAAACCCGTTTAAAAATCTGAGTACAGAGAAAACCAAATAAAAACGCAGTTCATCTGAATCTTC